TTGGTATATTAGTGATTTTACAACTCACTTTACATTATTCCCATATAACACGAGAGTGATAAGCCTTTTGGGATTATCGCGCTTGGTGGCAATATTGTTATTAATAATAATAAAAATTAATAAAGTATTGAAGTTTAGTTCGTTGTATAACCTTTTGAATACCACTCGATGTTTCAGGATTATCTAATACTTTTACCTGACACTCAACGCGTTACCAGCAACACCACTCCTCCTTCAGAGTCGTGGTGTTGATGCGTAACGCGTTTCGTGACAGGTAAAAGTATTATTCGGTAATCTCGAAACCTCTTGTGGTATTACATTCGATTATACAACTCACTATATGTAGAGTATTCCCATATAACACGAGAGGCTTAATAAGTGATGAGCCTTTTGGGATTATCGCGCTTGGTGGCAATATTGTTATTAGATAATAATTAAAAAAAATTAATAAAGCATTGAAGTTTAGTTCGTTGTATAACTTTTTGACAGGGCCGGTTCTAGCTCTTTGGCCGCCCTCGTGCAAGAGCTTGTTTTGCCGCCCCTCATGAGGAACTTTTTGCTTCGGAGGAAGAGAATTTTTCACAATATTCTATTGGTAGGCTCCATCAAGTTAGCCACCCACATTCGAATTTTCTAACAAATTTGCAATCACTTACTGTGCCGATGATATTTTTAACTGTGCCGTTCCGATACCAAAGTTATAGGAAAAACAAGATGGAGGCTAACTTGACGCTCAGCTCCCCCAAAATTTTACAAATCAGATAAAACAAAAATGGATTCCTATGCAATGTGAAGTGTGCCGAACTGTGCTGTATCAGCTTTCTATCAAAATTTCCATATTCGGTCATTTTCCGACAAAATCCTACTGGGGCTAACTCGATGCTCAGCTCCCCCAAAATTTTGGAAATCAGATGAAACAAAAATGAATTCTTATGCAATCTGAAGTGTGTTGGACCCTGTCGTATATCAGGTTTTTCTCAAAATTTCCATATTCGGTCATTTTCTGACAAAATCTTACTGGGGAAAGGGGTTTGAAATTAAGTCCAACAAAAATTGATTCTTATGAAAAATTATCTGGTTCATTTTAAAGCTCGAGTGGTATTTAGAGGATTATTTCACGTTTGAGAATGCAAAAAATATGGAAATAGAATTATATTAAACGATTTGAACATCTCAACAATCAATACAAATAAATGGTTGCTATCAGGAACCGTTTGTTTGTATCAAAAATTAGCATGACAACCACGTATACAATAACATGGGAGAATTATCGCTGTAATTCTCTCTAGTTAAACAAATAGAAAAAAGAATTTTCGCTGTAATTTTGAAAATAGTCACTTATCTTATGGGATTTCTAATACATGAGTGGAATAATCAGAAAAATCACACAGTCCAGCACACTAGATTGAATAGGAATCCATTTTTGTTTGATCTGATTTCCAAAACTTTGGGGGCGCTGGGCGTCAAGTTAGCCCCTTAAAAAGATTTTGTCGGAAAATGACCGAGTGTGGAAATTTTGAGAAAAACCTGATACAGCACACTCCACTTCAGATTGAATAGGACTAGGAGTCAATTTTTGTTTGATCTTTTCCAAAATTTTTGGTGGGGGTGAGCGTCAAGTTAGTCACTCATCCTGTTTTTCCTATAGCTTTGGTATCGGAACGACACAGTTCAAAATATCATCGGCACAGGGCACAGTAAAGCTTACTTCGAGGCCTTCGAGCACAGTAAGTGGTTGAAATTTTGTTGGAAAATTCGAATTTGGAGGGAGCTAACTTGACGGAGCCCTATCTTTGTGTGGTCCGTTTGTTGTTTATCGCTAGCAGGTGATTGGCCAAGGGCGCTCGTACTACTTTTCAGGGGTGCTCGTACCACTTGGCAGGTAGCACGCGTCCCAATAATTGGCCGCCTGTTCGTGCAATATAATTTAAAGGTATTTGTCTCTATTTTTTTTTTTAAATCTGTATAAAAATATACTAAGATACCTAGAATATGCAGCCCCCTCGGCGCACGAGTTGCACGAGTGTAAAATCCGGCCCTGCCTTTTGAATACCACTCGATGTTTCAGGATTACCTAATAGGTACTTTTTCCTGACACTCAACGCGTTACCAGCAACACCACTCCTCCTTCGGAGTCGTGGTGTTGCTGCGTAACGCGTTTCGTGCCAGGTAGAAGTAGGTATATCCGGTAATCCTGGAACCTCTTGTGGTATTACATGCGAGAATTTTATACATCTGTCAAAACTGAAATTCCAACAATAAACTGACATGCTTTGATTGTTGATTTGAACGAATCATATTGGAATTACGCGATAATTTGCACTAGTGCAAATTATCAGATAGTTGGCATAGTAACTGGTGCGAGAACTGGTGTTTTGACATTTTTATTGATAAAAAAATTGAATTTTTGATCCATGGAATTCTCTCATAGAATACAACTTGTGCAATGGAAATATATCTATAATTTTCGACAAATTTGCACTCATGCATTTTTAACTGAAAAATGCACTCGTGCACTACGTGCATTCGTGCTCTTTTTCAACTAAAAATGCATTCTGGCAAATTTCCCAAAAATGATCAATAATTTCCATTGCACTCGTTATATTACTATTGATAATTAAAAAACGCTTAGTTTTCGAGTTATAGTTGGAAACCTAAAAAAAGTGCCAAAATTTAAGGTTTTTTGCGTGAAGCCGACGTCTGGCGAGTTGGCAAACCTCAGATTGGGGATTCAGCGCCCCAAAAAACATATAGAGCCGGTAAAAAACTAAATTTTTTTCCTAAAAACGCTGTTTCTAAACCTTGGGATGACTGAACTATAGGTATATGATATCAATGGGAGTTTTTTAATCTAATGATTTTGTCTAGTTGTTGAGTCAGTCAAGAAAGCAAGTTGTGGTACTCCATTTTGATACAAAACAATGTTGTTGAGTTGGAATCAATTGTTCCTGTTCAAGAAAACCTCTCAGATTTTCTGCGACCATGGATTCCATGATTTTGCTTACAATGGGAAGCAATAAGCTTATTGCCATGTAGTTTGCAGCATCTAGTTTATCAGCTTTTTTGTTGACTGATGCAACTTTCCAAGCAACGGGGAGCCCTTTTTGCTCCAGTGGCATATTCATTACTTTGCATAGGGGAGCAGCAAGGTTGTTTGAGCACTTTTTAACTAATGAGGATATTCCCTCCAGAGTCCAGACCTGGAGAGCTGGCAGCCTTCAGGGCTTTCATCTTCTTTAGGATTTCTTATTGGGTTGTGATTTGTATAGTTGTGATTTGCAGATCTTTGGGAATTAATGCCTCGGTCGTGAATACTTTAGAAAACTCGTTTGCCAAGATTGTGGCTTGCTGTGCACATTTCCCCATTTGGAGTTTTGTGCTTACTTTGGTATTTAGTTGTGATTTGGATGACTGAACTATAGGTATATGACATCAAGGAGTTTTTTGATCTAGTGATTTTGTCCAGTTGTTAAGACAGTCAAGAAGGCAAGTTGTGGTACTCCATTTTGATACAAAACCATGTTGTTGAGCCCCAAAGGCAACGAATCAAAATACTGCTTCTTACTTGGCTCCCCCTGTATATCTTGATTAGTTATTTTTTCTACAATTAAGGAAAGGCTCCCCTAATATTCACATAAAATTTCACAAAAATCCGCCAAGTTAAAAAAAAGTTATTCAGAGCCAAATTGGGTTCCAAATAAATTTGGCCCACAGTGTATATTCGGTGTTGCTATCTGATATTGTCTGTTATTCTGAGTGAAAGTTAGCCCATACGTGATCTATATTGTCATCAGAAAGGACTTCTCCCCAATTGATTCACGATATATGATGATTAATATCTTCATAATTCATGGTGTTTGACTCTATGTACTGTTGTTTTAATCTGTGTTTGAAATGTCAGTTTCAATAGTTCGTGGTCTGATTTTCCGATGGGTGATAAGTGCTCATGTTTGGTGATAAGTGTGTGTCATTAACTATGACCAGATCCAAGAGTGATGGTGTTTGGCCCTCCTTTGGGTTGGTTTGGTGTTTGGTGATGATCTGGTGTAGACCCAAGTGGGTTAGAGTTTCCTCTAAAAGGGCTGCCCCATCCCTTAATAGACCTTAGATGCATCAGAAACCATGAAATTGTGGGAAGGTTAAAGTCGCCAGCTACAATAAGATTTTGATGGTTAGCAGCAAGGCTTGTCATGTTATTTGTGAAGAATTCAAGATCATCTTCTAGCAGGGAATCATTTGGTGTACACACACACTAGAACGAATGAGAAATTCCCATTGTAGATGTTGTTCAATGCCAGTATGTCAATGTTCCACAATCAAAAGGTATAGTTCGTTGTGAAGTTATTTTGGATATTTTGGTTGAGGTAGATGCACACTCCCCCATTTCTGTGTTTCAGTCTGTCCAGTCTGTGTATAATATATCTTGGAATATCGATGAGAGAGTTTGGGATTGAGTTTTTTAACCATGTTTCGGATATCATAATGATGTCTGTCCATTTTTTCGATATTGGCTTTGTTTATTATTTATATTCCGTTTCGGTCTTTCATTCTTTTCTCTTACTTCTATTTTAGTTTTCTCGTAGGTGTCTCCTAATCTTTTGTTATAATTTTTCTGATAGTATATTTTATCTGGTTACCTAGATCACTTGATAAAAATAATGTACAACTTCTTTGGTCTGTAGTTTTCAGGAATGCCGAAAGAATGCAATATTTTTAAATGTTGATATTCTGCTGTATGAATAGTTGTTTTGAGCATAGAACCATGGATTTTGGATTTAGTACAGCCAATAGAACTTTATCCGAAACAATCAGCTTTTTGCAGCCTCCAATCTTTAAAGCGATTATATGCCAATTCATACATTTTCCTGGATTTGGAAAGCACTTTCTCTACATAATTTGACATGTATTCTTATTCATCTTCGGTCCGCTCAATAATAATTATTGACTTTCTGATTAAAAAAAAAATGTTACACACTGTTAATATACATGTTTTGTTCTAGGCGTTAAACCTCATGAATGTCCGACTTGCGGCAAAAGCTTTTCAAGGAAAATGCTTTTAAAACAACACCAAAGAGTCCACACAGGAGAACGTCCCTATTCTTGTCCGGAATGTGGAAAAACGTTTGCTGATAGATCCAATATGAGTTTACATGCCAGACTACATACAGGTATTATTCTCATTTCAATTATAAACTGGCAAATATTAATTTGGTTATTTCCAGGAGTTAAACCTTACGCCTGCACAGTTTGCCCGAAAAGTTTCACCAAAAAGCACCATTTGAAAACGCACATGAATTTTCACACGGGCTTGAAACCTTACAAGTGTGATAATTGTGGTTTGGCTTTTTCGCAAAGTAGCAATATGAGGACGCATTTCAAAAAGTGTATTTTAAAGGAGATTAAAATTGGTAGCGTTGTTAAAGAGGAAGAATTAGGATCCACTGGCCATAGTTCTTCATAGGAAAAATTTCTGGACTTTTCGAGGTTATATTGATTTTGCAAGTATTATGGTTTTTACTACACACACCCAGGAACCTCAAACTGTGATATTTTTGTTCAGTTTTATTATTTAAAAAATAACTGTTTATTTTAATGTAAATTTAAAAAGTGTTAATTTATTATTAGGTATATAAACTATTGTGTTGTATGTAGGAAATATTTTTTAGATTTAGTGAACTTTAGTAAGTTTTGTTAAATTTTTAATATAAAATATACGTTTGAGAAGTAAAGGAAGTATTTTTATACAAATAACACAGCAATTTGTTAATCCTGGAAATTATTTGCCAACAGATAAGACGTTCTGAATTGCCAAATTTTTTCAAATGGTAATATTCAACAAACGATTTATACTACTTATAGAACTAGATTTATTCCAGGAATTAAAAATTCTGATAGCAACTTCAGTTAACATTTTTCAAACTCCAATTTATTATTTAGAAAAATGGCTCACACAGCAGTTATGTGTTGCCCATCAAGATTTATATCCATACTGCCTAATGATATGTCAGTCATAAACAAATCTTACCCAATTAAACTAAAATCTTTGTTGTTAGCTTGGGTATTATTTCTTAATACTGAGACTTGTGGAGTTCATCCTTTGAATGTTACTTTCAAGTAAGATCAAGAACATGTTTTGGTGTTTTATGAAGTGAATCCTAGTCCTAGTATTTGGTGTTTCACTTCTGTTAGCTATCATAAGATTTTGTAGATATAATAGAGCTGGGTTGTCATACACTAGGCACGAGGTAATAACTCTAACACTCCATTTTTTGGTGGTGTTGGTGTACCCACAAACAAAATTCAATATTCAGCAAATTATCCATTCTCATTCATTTTGTGCCTCCGTAAATAGGTCCCTTATTACATTGCAAAAGAACCTAGGGGACGTCATACAGGTGTAGTTCCGACGTAAAACACGTTATGTTCAAAAAAAGTCTAGTGCTATTATTGCTTGTCGTCTTATCGAAGAAAAGTATTCTTGGCTGCTAACAGTATTTTTATGTGAACGCCTTACCATATTTCTCAAAGCCGTGGAGGTATTTTAATAAGTGTCGGTTTTACCTGAAGCGCCAAAGTACTCTCTCCTGCTTAGAAGATAGTTTCTACATTCTACATTGCCCTCTTTGTCTTGAGTCCTGCGATTTCTACGTGATCCCCTATGCAAAGTCGTCTGTGTATAGTGAGTACCAGGTAGATGGCCATTGAGGAATACATGGGAAGAGCTCTCCGCCGAATTTCATCAGCTCGATGAGAGCAAGCTTTCGCTTTTAGAAAAACAGGGCTAGGCTTGTTTGAGTATCGATGATATTATTTTTCCATATGATGCAGTATTCGTTGATAAGGCCAGTCCTTTCCTGGAGACTCAGTGTGTAGTGGTTTTGGGCACATTGTGATTATACATAGTCATGACCATTTCTTGGGGCAGTCCTGCCAATAGGAAATAGCTTTAAGGATTTAAGGTAGGATTTTTAAGTATCCGGCATTGCGGTATGCGGCAGCGGTGTGCGGTACTGCGATGTTGCGGATATCGCACCCCGCATGCTGTTGGCGGCAAAGGACCCCGCAATATTTAAATGGAAATTGGTTACCCGTGATATTTGGATGAAATTTAAATATGTTATTGGGGATGCCGCAAGCAACATTTTTTACCATGGGCACAACCCTGTATATATGACAGGTGAGGCGTGGTTAGCTGTCAAATATTGGAATCTTATATCCAAAAGCAGAGTAACTATGGCAGATTTTGATGAACAAAAAATCAATTTCTACTAAGTCGACCAAGTTAAGTCGAAAAATGTCAACCATTTTGACACCAGGATTTGACTCTTTTAACTTGTATGTAAATTCTGAATTCAAAAATTGAAAAAAAAAATGACAGAACTGTCAAAACCTGTCATTTGTTTTAGTAGAAAAAAATACTCTAATCTGATTCTTTTTTGTTTCAAGGTAGTTTATTGGTGATAAAACATTAAACAAAGTTCATGCATGTCACATTTTGACAACTGTCAGAATCTCTTTTTGCTTTTTGGTTCATATTGAGTCGTTTGTTTGCTTAGTGAAGTTCTACAACTATAACGATAGAATAATACAATAATACAATAGAACTAAACCTTCACTAAGCAAACAAACTCAATATGAACCAAAAATCTATTAACAGATTCTGACAGTTGTCAAAATGTGACATGCATGAACTTTGTTTAATGTTTTATCACCGCTAAACTACCTTGAAACAAAAAAGAATCAGATTAGAGTATTTTTTTCTTCTAAAACAAATGACAAGTTTTGACAGTTCTGTCATTTTTTTTTCAATTTTTGAATTCAGAATTTACATACAAGTTAAAAATGTCAAATGACATCATAAAATATTGAAAACAGGAAAAGATGAGTGCTGCCGTTTGGCAGGGTTTTGACAGGTGTCAAAATGGTTGACATTCTTCGACTTGACTTGGTCGACTTAGTAGACATCGATACTTCGATCATTAAAATCTGCCATAGTCACTCTTCTTTTGGATATAAGATTCCAATATTTGACAGCTAACCACGCCTCACCTGTCATATATACAAGGTTGTGCCCATGGTAATAAATGTTGCTTACGGCATCCCCAATGACATATTTAAATTTCATCCAAATATCACGGGTAACCAATTTCCATTTAAATATTGCGGGGTCCTTTGTTTTTTAACTGTCAGGCAAATATTTTTGAAGTCGCGATCAAAAAATTAAATCAGCTATTTTTTTTTACTCGTCGTACGCGATTCTCTTGCTCGAAGAAGATGAAGAAGGAAAAGCTGTATTTCACCGTTGTGAAAATATCAGTGAAATATCAAACATTTATAAAAGTCGTGCACAAAAAGAAGCGTATTTTCATTGAACGTCACTTAAATGATAGTGAAACTGAAAATGAAACTTAATTTGAAGCATACCGTACCTAAGAGTGTCACGTGACCTGTTTTACTATATTTTCAATGCAATTAAAGAAGGGGATATATCAACAAAGCCTCAAAACTATAGTTTTTTGCCAGGTCGTGGGGCGTCGCACACTACTGCGGTGTCGTCGAAAAACATTTTGGAGTTTTTCAGCGGCACGCCGCAAAGATAACTTGCGACGCCGCAGTGTCGTTGACGCATAACGCATGGTAACAAAACAGTTCAATGTTACAATATGGTACACAACTCACCGGCACGTCGCAAAGCCGCACACCGCCAGAGCTGGGCAAAGCCCTCAGTAAAAGGGCTTGAAGCACTAAGCCCTAAGCCCTCTATCAAAGTGCTTCAATTTCAAGCACAAATTCCTTTTTATTTCCAAAAGTGCTTCACAAGCACAAAGCCCTCAAAGTGCTTTGGGCTTGACAAGCACAAAGCCCTCAAAGTGATTTGAAAAGTGCTTGAAGCACATCAAAAGTGCTTGGGGTGCCTTGAAAAGGGCTTCAAGCTCTTTAAATGTGCTTCAAGCTCTTTAAATGTGCTTGAAGCTCTTTAAATGTGCCTAAAGCACTTTGAATTTGTAATAAAATTCTCAAAGTGGCATAAGCTACCGCGTACACTCATCACACAGAATTGGTATAGTAGAGACGAACTTTACATTTCACAGAGTAGCAGTAGTATGTTTTTTTTTTAGATGTAGTTCTGGGGTACTTGGGGTACTACATGGTAATTCAATTTTAAGGTTTTGAAAATGTTCAATGGGGAAAAGTGGAAAAAATCCAGTGATAAAGTTAAATAGGTTACCAATATAAATTAATTATTTATTTGAATAATAAGTTCATTATTTTTTTTTAAAATTCCATTCTAAGCTCAAACCCAAAACCTCCATTGTTAAAAGAGAAAAGACATAAGACGGTTCAAGTTCAAATAATAGAAAAAAAAAGGGACAAAATACGATCGAAATTTTTCAAGTGGGGGATAGGTTGAGTGATGGTCAATTCAAATTCCTTTCAAAGTGCTTCAAGCCCTTTTAAAGTGCTTCAAGCCCTTTCAAAGTGCTTCAAGCTCCCAAAAGTGCTTCAAGCCCTCTTAAAGTGCTTCAAGCCCTTTCGAAGGGCTTCAAGCTCCCAAAAGTGCTTCAAGCCCTCTAAAAGTAATTGAAGCTCATTGAAAGGGCTTGAATTACTTTTTTCAATTACAAATTACCAAGCACTTTTCTAAAGTAATTGACTTTGCAAGCTCCAATTACAAATCTATAAAAGGGCTTGAAGCACAGGGCTTTCAAGCCCTCAAAGTGCTTCAAGCACTTTCGCAAGCACAAAGCACTCAAGCCCTGCCCAGCTCTGCACACCGCAATGCCGGATAGTTAAAAATCCTACCTTTAACGAGCTAATTCGAATGCAATAGGATCTGTGAATAATCTTCTTTCAATAGCTCTTTCACCTGTACCCAAAGAAGGTCGGTAATAGACTAAAGGGTCGGTACGGTAGTCCTAGAAAACTTCTTTACCTATCTTGGATTGTTCATAACAGTCACCCCTGCATATTTCCATTTTAATGGAAAGTATAGGTGATCGAAGCGTATTACCATATGTTGGCGGTAACTGCGATGATTAGCACAGCCTTGTGACTTGTGAGGCGAATTTTTTTTCATGTCTTGTTGGAAATCTTATCTTTGACTTTGTCTCTTCCTAGCTAGGGCCTTCTTCCGCGGGTTTGCGCAGTGATTTTATAACGTTAAAGACGAGTTATAGTTTAGTAAACAAGTGCTAAATTGTAAGGATCTATTTAGTACCTATCGGATTTGCATATTTTCGTATCATAGAAGTTGTGGGGTTTACAATATAAAGTACGGCAGTGAAATAAAGGATCTGAAAGCTATCATCCAATACCTATATCTCCGAAAGGTTTAATCAACAATGTAGGTAAACTTTATGAAGACGTATAATCGTAAATAAGAAAATACAAAAGCAAAATAAGAAACAACATGAACGGGTGTAGCTTCTTGAATTTAAACTAAATACGTATAAGAGAGCAGAATGAAAAACAAAACAATATTTTGGTTAGGTACTGGAATACCAATTCAAGAGAATAAAACTATTAGG